AGTGAGCATCATCGTGTTCTGTTAGTGAGCGTCATCGTGTTCTGTTAGTGAGCATCATCGTGTTCTGTTAGTGAGCGTCATCGTGTTCTGTTAGTGAGCGTCCTCGTGTTCTGTTAGTGAGCATCATCGTGTTCTGTTAGTGAGCATCATCGTGTTCTGTTAGTGAGCGTCATCGTGTTCTGTTAGTGAGTGTCCTCGTGTTCTGTTAGCGAGCATCATCGTGTTCTGTTAGTGAGCATCATCGTGTTCTGTTAGTGAGCATCATCGTGTTCTGTTAGTGAGCGTCCTCGTGTTCTGTTAGTGAGCGTCATCGTGTTCTGTTAGTGAGCGTCATCGTGTTCTGTTAGTGAGCGTCATCGTGTTCTGTTAGTAAGCGTCATCGTGTTCTGTTAGTGAGCGTCATCGTGTTCTGTTAGCGAGCGTCATCGTGTTCTGTTTGTGAGCGTCATCGTGTTCTGTTAGTGAGCGTCCTCGTGTTCTGTTAGTGAGCGTCCTCGTGTTCTGTTAGTGAGTGTCCTCGTGTTCTGTTAGTGAGCGTCCTCGTGTTCTGTTAGTGAGTGTCCTCGTGTTCTGTTAGTGAGCGTCCTCGTGTTCTGTTAGTGAGTGTCCTCGTGTTCTGTTAGTGAGCGTCATCGTGTTCTGTTAGTGAGCATCATCGTGTTCTGTTAGTGAGCGTCATCGGTTCTGTAGTGAGCATCATCGTGTTCTGTTAGTGAGCGTCATCGTGTTCTGTTAGTGAGCATCATCGTGTTCTGTTAGTGAGCGTCATCGTGTTCTGTTAGTGAGCGTCCTCGTGTTCTGTTAGTGAGCGTCATCGTGTTCTGTTAGTGAGCGTCCTCGTGTTCTGTTAGTGAGCATCATCGTGTTCTGTTAGTGAGCATCATCGTGTTCTGTTAGTGAGCGTCATAGTGTTCTGTTAGTGAGCGTCATCGTGTTCTGTTAGTGAGCGTCATCGTGTTCTGTTAGTGAGGTCATCGTGTTCTGTTAGTAAGCGTCATCGGTGTTCTGTTATGTGAGCGTCATCGTGTTCTGTTTGTGAGCGTCATCGTGTTCTGTTAGTGAGTGTCCTCGTTGTTCTGTTAGTGAGCGTCCTCGTGTTTCTGTTAGTGAGTGTCCTCGTGTTCTGTTAGTGAGCATCATCCGTGTTCTGTTAGTCAAGCGTCATTGTGTTTCTGTTAGTGAGTGTCCTCGTGTTCGTTAGTGAGTGTCCTCGTGTTCTGTTAGTGAGTGTCCTCGTGTTCTGTTAGTGAGCGTCATCGTGTTCTGTTAGTGAGTGTCCTCGTGTTCTGTTAGTGAGTGTCATCATGTTCTGTTAGTGAGTGTCATCGTGTTCTGTTAGTGAGCGTCATCGTGTTCTGTTAGTGAGTGTCATCGTGTTCTGTTAGTGAGCGTCATCGTGTTCTGTCACTGAGCGTCATCATGTTCTGTTAGTGAGCATCATCGTGTTCTGTTAGTCAAGCGTCATTGTGTTCTGTTAGTGAGTGTCCTCAGTGTTCTGTTAGTGAGTGTCCTCGTGTTCTGTTAGTGAGTGTCCTCGTGTTCTGTTAGTGAGCGTCATCGTGTTCTGTTAGTGAGTGTCCTCGTGTTCTTTTAGTGAGCGTCATCGTGTTCTGTTAGCGAGTGTCCTCGTGTTCTGTTAGTGAGCGTCATCGTGTTCTGTTAGTGAGCGTCATCGTGTTCTGTTAGTGAGCGTCATCGTGTTCTGTTAGTGAGCGTCATTGTGTTCTGTTAGTGAGCATCATCGTGTTTCTGTTAGTGAGCGTCATCGTGTTCTGTTAGTGAGCGTCATCGTGTTCCGTTAGTGAGCGTCCTCGTGTTCTGTTAGCGAGCGTCATCTTGTTCTGTTAGTGAGCGTCATCGTTTTCTGTTAGTGAGTGTCCATCGTGTTCTGTTAGTGAGCGTCATCGTGTTCTTTACTGGGGCGTCATCGTGTTCTGTTAGTGAGCGTCATTGTGTTCTGTTAGTGAGCGTCCTCGTGTTCTGTTAGTGAGCGTCCTCGTGTTCTGTTAGTGAGCGTCATCGTGTTCTGTTAGTGAGCGTCCTCGTGTTCTGTTAGTGAGCGTCATCGTGTTCTGTTAGTGAGCGTCATCGTGTTCTGTTAGTGAGCGTCCTCGTGTTCTGTTAGTGAGCGTCATAGTGTTCTGTTAGTGAGCGTCATCGTGTTCTGTTAGTGAGCGTCCTCGTGTTCTGTTAGTGAGCGCATCGTGTTCTGTTAGTGAGCGTCATCGTGTTCTGTTAGTGAGCCTCATCGTGTTCTGTTAGTGAGCGTCATTGTGTTCTGTTAGTGAGCGTCATCGTGTTCTGTTAGTGAGCATCCCCGTGTTCTGTTAGTGAGCGTCATCGTGTTCTGTTAGTGAGCGTCATCGTGTTCTGTTAGTGAGCGTCATCGTGTTCTGTTAGTGAGCGTCATCGTGTTCTGTTAGTGAGCGTCATCGTGTTCTGTTAGTGAGCGTCCATCGTGTTGTGTTAGTGAGCGTCCTCGTGTTCTGTTAGTGAGTGTCCTCGTGTTCTGTTAGTGAGCGTCATCGTGTTCTGTTAGTGAGCGTCCTCGTGTTCTGTTAGTGAGCGTCATCGTGTTCTGTTAGTGAGTGTCCTCGTATTCTGTTAGTGAGCATCCTCGTGTTCTGTTAGTGAGTGTCCTCGTGTTCTATTAGTGAGCGTCATAGTGTTCTGTTAGTGAGCGTCATCGTGTTCTGTTAGTGAGCGTCCTCGTGTTCTGTTAGTGAGCGTCCTCGTGTTCTGTTAGCGAGCGTCCTCGTGTTCTGTTAGTGAGCGTCATCGTGTTCTCTTAGTGAGTGTCATCGTGTTCTGTTAGTGAGCGTCTTCGTGTTCTGTTAGTGAGCGTCATCGTGTTCTGTTAGTGAGCGTCATCGTGTTCTGTTAGTGAGCGTCCTCGTGTTCTGTTAGTGAGCGTCCTCGTGTTCTGTTAGTGAGCGTCATCGTGTTCTGTTAGTGAGCGTCTTCGTGTTCTGTTAGCGAGCGCCATCGTGTTCTGTTAGTGAGCGTCCTCGTGTTCTGTTAGCGAGCGCCATCGTGTTCTGTTAGTGAGCGTCCTCGTGTTCTGTTAGTGAGCGTCATCGTGTTCTGTTAGCGAGCGCCATCGTGTTCTGTTAGTGAGCGTCCTCGTGTTCTGTTAGTGAGCGTCATCGTGTTCTGTTAGTGAGCGTCTTCGTGTTCTGTTAGTGAGCGTCACCGTGTTCTGTTAGTGAGCGTCATCGTGTTCTGTTAGTGAGCGTCATCGTGTTCTGTTAGTGAGCGTCATCGTGTTCTGTTAGTGAGCGTCCTCGTGTTCTGTTAGTGAGCGTCATCGTGTTCTGTTAGTGAGCGTCATCGTGTTCTGTTAGTGAGCGTCCTCGTGTTCTGTTAGTGAGCGTCATTGTGTTCTGTTAGTGAGTGTCATCGTGTTCTATTAGCGAGCGTCATCGTGTTCTGTTAGTGAGCGTCCTCGTGTTCTGTTAGTGAGCGTCATCGTGTTCTGTTAGTGAGCGTGATCGTGTTCTGTTAGTGAGCATCCTCGTGTTCTGTTAGCGAGCTCCCTCGCGGCGATGTAGTACAAAGACAAAGTTCCCCCGTATAGCTTCGGCAGACTGTTTCGGGCAAGTGCTGCGAGCGAAGCCGGCACGGCACACGAGGGGGCGGGTGAGCCAGCACCACGTGCCGCGCCTCTACCTCGTGGCGATGTTTACACGCCGCACTCATTTGAGGCTGAGTCGACCTTGGGGAGGCCCATTACCGGTTCAGGTAATCGTCACTGGTGGCGGTCGTGAACGGGAGTCGCCGGGTTCGAAGCGCAGCGTGCGCTAACCACTGCACCACCGCTCCCCACGTAATCTATTTTAAATCACCTACTGTGCATTAATGACACCACCTGCACACGCCTGGCCTGGCCGTGGTGGTGGCTACGCTGCACGTGATTGCCTGTGACCCCACAGCACTGCTGGGTCACGAGCAGCAGGGGTTGGTGGACCACCGCAACGAATGTTGTGGAACTCGCTTCTTCTACCCGTGGGAGTCGAGGAGGCGCCGTAGCCACCTGGCCCGCCACGAGAAGGCGGCGCAGCGAAGTGTGTGGACGAATCTCCGTGCGGGGATGGAGCGTTGTTGTTGTTGTCGTTGTTGTTGTCGTCGTCGTTGTTGTTGTAGTTGTGGTCGTTGTTGTCGCTGTTGTTGTCGTTGTTGTTGTCGTTGTTGTTGTCGTTGTTGTCGTTGTTGTTGTTGTCGTTGTTGTTGTCGTTGTTGTTGTCGTTGTTGTTGTTGTCCCCTCGCGCAAGGCGTGGGATTCCTCCTCCCACGCGGAATAACAATGATGTGCAAAAAACACGACTCGTCATGAAGTGGTTGAAACCACGTGGCAGTAACAACCAAAATTTATCAGCAGCAGCAGCCGCAGTAACCCTCGTGACGTGAAAGAGTCAGCGTGACTTGTCCGCAGCGAGCGATAACCCACGTGGTAAGACGAGCACGTGGTGGTAGTGGTGGCGGTGGTGCACAATCTCTTCTCGTAAACAACAACAACTCACACCTTCATCATCCTCTTCCCCGCCCCCCCCCCCCCACACTTGCCCCACCCCACCCCCACTTGCCCCACCCCCCCCCCCCCACACGTGCCCCTACCCCCCCCCCCACACTTGCCCCATCCCCCCACCCCCCCCATTTTGCCCCAACCCCCCCCCACACTTGCCCCATCCCACCCCCACTTTCCCCCCCCACCCCCCCCCCCCACACGTGCCCCTACCCCCCCCCCCACACTTGCCCCATCCCCCCACCCCCCCCATTTTTGCCCCAACCCCCCCCCCCACACTTGCCCCACCCCACCCCCACTTGCCCCCCCCACCCCCCCCCCACACGTGCCCCTACCCCCCCCCACATTTGCCCCATCCCCACTTGCCCCCCTACCCAACCCACTTGCCCCCCACACGTGCCCCACCCCACCCTCACACTTGCCACCCCCTACCCCACCCACTTGCCACCCCCTACCCCCCACACTTGCCCCACCGCAGGCGGCGAGGGCTCCTGGTTCACGCGCTTCCAGGCGCAGCTGCAGGAGCTGTGGCCGTGGGTGGTGGGCGCCCTGCTGCTGGGCGCCCTGCTCGCCTCCCTGCTGGGGCTGGGCGCGTGGCGCGCGTGCCGCCTCGGGGTCGAGTCCCGCCAGAGGCGACAGCGCCGCGGCTTTCTCGCCTGGGAGGGCGCCCAGGGCAAGGACGGGCAGGAGACCCGCAGGTTGCTGGATGACGTCGAGCCCAACGGGGTGCCCGGCTCGTTCCAGACGACGTTCTAGCGGTGGTGCTCCTGGCGGTGGTGGTGGTGATGGTGGTCATAGTGGTGGTGGGGGTGTAAGAGTTGTAGGGCAGACATGGGCAGGGGGCACGGGGACATGAGGATGTTGCTGGTGGGAGTGGTGGTGATCGTGTTGGTGATGGTGGTGGTGGTGTTGATGGTCATGGTGATGGTGGTGTAAGAGTTGTAGGGCAGACATGGGCAGGGGGCACGGGGTCATGAATAGGATGTTGCTGGTGGTAGTGGTGGTGATCGTGGTAGTGGTGGTGGTGATGGTGGTGGTGGTGATGATGGTGGTGATGATGGTGATGGTGGTGGTGATGTTGCTGGTGGTAGTGGTGGTGATCGTGGTGGTGGTGGTGGTGGTGATGATGGTGGTGATTGGTGGTGGTGATGGTGGTGAGATGGATGGTGGTGGTGGTGATGGTGGTGATGGTGGTGATGGTGGTGGTGATGGTGATGGTGGTGATGGTGGTGGTGATGGTGGTGGTGATGGTGGTGGTGGTGGTGATGGTGGTGGTGGTGTGTGATGGTGGTGGTGGTGATGGTGGTGGTGGTGTGGTGGTGGTGATGGTGGTGGTGTGGTGATGGTGGTGGTGGTGGTGGTGGTGATGGTGGTGGTGTGGTGGTGATGGTGGTGTGGTGGATGGTGGTGGTGATGGTGGGATGGTGATGGTGGTGGTGGATGGTGGTGGTGGTTGATGGTGGTGGTGTGTTGGTGGTGGTTGGTGGTGGTGATGGTGGTGGTGGTGATGGTGGTGGTGGTGATGGTGGTGATGTGGTGGTGATGTGGTGGTGTGGTGGTGATGGTGGTGGTGGTGATGGTGGTGGTGGTGATGGTGGTGGTGGTGGTGGTGATGGTGGTGATGGTGATGGTGGTGGTGCTGGTGATGGTGGTGGTGATGGTGGTGGTGATGGTGGTGGTGGTGATGGTGGTGGTGGTGATGGTGATGTGGATGGTGATGGTGGTGGTGGTGATGGTGGTGATGGTGATGGTGGTGGTGATGGTGGTGGTGGTGGTGGTGATGGTGATGGTGGTGGTGGTGATGGTGATGGTGGTGGTGATGGTGGTGGTGGTGATGGTGATGGTGGTGGTGATGGTGGTGGTGGTGGTGGTGATGGTGGTGGTGGTGATGGTGGTGGTGGTGATGGTGGTGGTGGTGGTGGTGATGGTGGTGATGGTGATGGTGGTGGTGATGGTGATGGTGGTGGTGATGGTGGTGGTGATGGTGGTGGTGGTGATGGTGGTGGTGGTGATGGTGATGGTGGTGGTGATGGTGATGGTGGTGGTGGTGATGGTGGTGATGGTGATGGTGGTGGTGATGGTGGTGGTGATGGTGGTGGTGGTGGTGGTGATGGTGATGGTGGTGGTGGTGATGGTGATGGTGGTGGTGATGGTGGTGGTGGTGATGGTGATGGTGGTGGTGATGGTGGTGGTGGTGGTGGTGATGGTGGGTGGTGGTGATGGTGGTGGTGGTGATGGTGGTGGTGGTGGTGGTGATGGTGGTGATGGTGATGGTGGTGGTGATGGTGATGGTGGTGGTGATGGTGGTGGTGGTGGTTAACACGATTTTTTTGGGCCCAGAGTAGAACTTGGTTCCCCAAGGTGGTAAAATTTGCCGTATAGATTTTTTTCTGTCATCATCATAATCATGATTAATCATCAATCATCCAACCACCATCCGTCATCCTCATCATCATAGGAGGGCACATGACCCAATGATATTACCCCAGCGCGTCCTAAATGACGTTCTAGTGGTCGTGGTGGTGGCTGTGAGGCTATATAGGGGATATTTGTCATTATTCGTTTGGTGGTGGTATGTCCGCAATTTATCGGTGCTGCTCGCTGACAGCACTTGCCCTCGATAGCCTGTGAAGGCTATACGGGGGATCTTTGTGTTCGGTGGTGCCGTAGGAGTTGTAGGGACGCGCGGGGCAAGGGTACCATTATATGTATGTGTGTGTACGTGTGTATGTGTATACGTGTGTGCGTATAAGTGTGTGTGTGTGTGTACGTGTGTTTAGGTATGTGTGTGTGTTTTGGGGAAGCGGTAGTATAGCGGTTAGCGCGCTGCGCTATGAACCTGGTGACCCGAGTTCGATTGCCGATGCAACAGTTCGAAGCAGAAATCGATTCTGATCGAAGATTCTGTCAAAATGTCGCTGGGTAGATTTCTCTATCATCGTCATCAGCATCATCATCATCATCGTTATTGACGTGAATAAATGATCAAGAACTCGTCTGTCATGTGTCCTGAGGATTTATCGCGCTGGATCGAACGTGCGATTGAGTCCTGCTGCGTCGGCAGTGACGCATTATCACAAACAACAACAACAACACGTAACTAAATCCTCACAAACACCGTCCTTCAATGACAGATATCGACTGGGCATCCGTGAAAAGGAGCTTTATAGCTCCTCCAATATAGATGAATACTCTGATCCTATAAAAGGGTCACTGCCCGTAACGTCACCTATTAATTTCGGTCCTTTTTATGGCTGTGTGATTGGCAAATGAGTCTACTTGTGATGAGGACGCCACGGTGGCTAGTAGATGTTAACTACCTCGCCTGGTATACAGGAGGTCGTGGGTTCGATCACGACCCTGACGCCTGCTGCTGTATACTTGGAGTTTGCGTCTCTCTCTCTCTCATCATCATCACGGTGGCTAGGAGATGTTAACTACCTCGCCTGGTATACAGGAGGTCGTGGGTTCCATCCCGACCCTGACGCCTGCTGCTGTATATTTGGAGTTTGTGTGTCTCTCATCACCATCATCATCACGGTGGCTAGGAGATGTTAACTATCTCGCCTGGTATACAGGAGGTCGTGGGTTCGATCACGACCCTGACGCCTGCTGCTGTATATTTGGAGTTTGTGTGTCTCTCATCACCATCATCATCACGGTGGCTAGGAGATGTTAACTACCTCGCCTGGGATACAGGAGGTCGTGGGTTCGATCACGACCCTGACGCCTGCTGCTGTATATTTTGAGTTTGTGTGTGTGTCTCTCTCTCATCATCATCACGGTGGCTATGAGATGTTAACTACCTCGCCTGGTATACAGGAGGTCGCGGGTTCAATCCCGGCCCTGATACCGACTCGATATTTGGAGCGTGCGTGTCTCCATTAACGTGGTCGCGTGGGTTTTTCTCCGGGTCCTCCCTCCACATTTCGAATCAACATCCAACGCGTTGAGAGCAGTGGTTCTTCTTCACCTGGGGTGGACGCTTCACCCTCTGGGGGCTCCAGACGTTGGCCAGATTTCTTTAGAAGGTAACACACAAATTAAGCACAAGTACTTGAAATAAATATAGACAACACGTTCTACTTAATTAAATATATTTTTAATAAATGTTTTCTCCTACAACATCAGAGTGCAGCGCCACATTAAATACGCACTACAATGACAATACAGTAGTTTAAAGCGATCGATTTGAAGCGTGTTTAATTTTCTAAACGGAAATATGGTATTCGGGGGGGGGGCAGAGCTTTGTGACGTCATATTTGAGGGAGGGGGGGTCTGACTTTTTGTGACGCCGTGTGACGAGGCGGGGAGGTCAAAAATCGTCAAAAATCGCGTGACGTCATTTCCCCTTTGGTTCTCAATCGTAAAACAAAAGAAAACATGTATGATGTTAATAAACACGTAGGTTTGATGAAACTAAGTAGTTGTGTCTTGATTTGAAGCTTTCGTGACTGCAGCAATCCATAATCTTTGGTTCTTTCGGTAAAGTCACGTGGGTAGAAAATAAAATTAATCACGTTTCGGGCACAGACTGTTTGAAAAGGTCACGTAGGTATGAAATAAAACAAATCACGACGTTTCGGGCGCAACACAAGCGTCCGTCACCTTTTAAAAGTCTGCGCCCGAAACGTCGTGATTTATTTTATTTTCTACCCACGTGACTTTACCGAAATAACCAAAGATTATGGATTCCTGCAGTCACGAAAGCTTCAACTCAAGACACAACTACTTTGTTTCATCAAACCTAGGTGTTTATTAACATCATACATGTTTTATTTTTTTGTGCGATTGAGAACCAAAGGGACCGTCCATAAATGACGTCACGCGATTTTGGACGATTTTTGACCCCCCTGCCCCCCCCCCTCGTCACACGGCGTCACAAAAAGTCAGACCCCCATCAAATATGACGTCACAAAGCTATGCCCCCCCTCCCCCCCGAAAACCATATTTCCATTGTGAAAATAAAACATGCTTAAAATCGCTCTAAACTATTGTCATTGTAGTGCGTGTTTAATGTGGCGCTGCACTCTGATGTTGTAGGAGTGCTGTTATAACAATTAGTGTTGTTATAACAATTCTAAATTTATTTAAAATTGTGCATTTTGATGTGACGTCACATTTCTCAAACCCCCCCCGCCCTCGTCACACATCGGCACAAATGTCTGACCCCCTCCCCCCCTCCAGGTGCGTGACGTCATTTATGGACGGCCCCAAAGGGGTGCAATGCTCCAGTAAAGGTTAAGAACCACCGGTTTAGAGTATTTGGCTGCTATAAATGTCCGCGTTATGAGCCCACTTCGTTGATCGATCATTCGTGAGAGCCGGGTCGCTTCTCAAGAAAGAGCTACGGAACCGTTCAATGGGCATTAGCTGGTAAACTAAAATAAAAAGTTTGATTTTGATTTAAAGCTTTCGTGACTGCAGGGATTCCTCTTCTTGGTTCTTTCGGTAAAGTCACGTAGAAGGGAAATAATAAAAAAATAAAAATAAAACAATAAAATAATTCTCACGACGTTTCGGCCACAACGCAAGCAGCCGTCCTCAGGTGAAGAACAGGTCATTCAGACGCTGTCTCCCCGACAGACCTGTTCTTCACCTGAGGACGGCTGCTTGCGTTGTAGCCGAAACGTCGTGAGAATTATTTTATTATGTTTTATTTATTTTTTATTTCCCTTCTACGTGACTTTACCGAAAGAACCAGGAAGATAAAAAGTTTGAGTTTAGATTCTAGATTTGAAGCTTTCGTGACTGCA